GCTCAGTTTATACATTCTACTTTTATCTCCTTGTGGAATCCATGTTTTTCAAACACAAGGCCTTCCATGCCCTTTAGACATAGAAGACAAAAGCAGACAACTAGCCTAATGGTTAAGATGCCAATGCTTTATATCAGAATGGCTGGGTTTGATTTCCAATTGGATTTCTCCTTCCTGCCGGTACAGACCCTGGGAGGCAGCACGTGATAGCTCAATAGGTCAATTTCCTGACCACCCCAAAGGGAGTTCTTAGTTTCTGGCTTCAGTCCAGCCCAGATCTAATCACAAAGGGAATAAGGACATTTTTAGGAAGAAAAAAACAAATCCAAATCTGAAAAAAAAAAAAACCCAAACCTTAATATCTTGGCATAAATTTAACCAAGGATGTGAGGGATCACTATGATGAAAAACACAAAACATTAATGAAAACATCAGAAGACACCAAAATATGAAAAAAATCTGTTTGTGGACGGGGAGAATTAATATTATCCAAATGTCTATATTAACAAAGAGAGATTTTCAGAATCAGTGTGACCCCAATCGAAATTCCTATGACATTCTTCTCAGCTCTAGACAAAAATTATTCTAAAGTTCATATGGAAATACAAGAGACCCGAATAGCTAAAGCAATCTTAACAAAAAAACAAAGCTGAAGGTATCACAATGCCAAACTTCAGATTGTACCACAGGAGCACTGTAATCAAAGCAGCCTGGGTGCTTGCTTCAGCAGCACATACACTAAAAACAACCTGGTACTGGCATAAAGACTTTCATATCAACAGAACAGAAGAGAAATTACAGAAATAAACCCACACATCTATATCCAACTAATTTTTCACAAGCAGCAAAATAAATCCAGAAAGGACAGCCTTTTCAAAAAATGGGGCTGAGAAAATTAAACCTATGCAAGCAAAAGAAAAAAGACCTCTATCTTACACCTTGTAAAAAAATCAACTATAACAGATCAAGGATTTAAATCTACATTCTGATACCATCAAATTATTAGAGGAAGATGTTAGGTACCACTCTGTAAGAAATGTATAGGCAAAGATTTCTTGGAAAATACCCCAGCAGCACAGCCATCTAAAGTAAAAATAAACAAACGGATTATATCACTCCAAGAAATTTCTTCACTGCAAACGAAACTACCAATAAGCTGAAGAGGCAGCCAAGAGAATGGGAGGAAATATTTGTACTACACAACAGACAGAAGACTAATATCCAGGGTTTATAAAGAATTCAAGAAACTCAACAACAGCAAAACAAACAATTCATTTAAGAAATGAGAGTAGGGTATCAAGCAGGCATTTTTCAAAGGACGGAATTCAAATGGCCAACAGACATATGAAACTGTTCAGGTTTTCTCACTATCAGCGAAACACAAATAAAAACTACAATAAGGTTCTACACCTCACCCCAGGGAAAATGCTTACCACACAGAAATCAGAAAACAATAATAACAAGGATGTGGGGGGAAAGGTACTCCAATCCCCTGTTGGTGAGAATATAAACTAGAATAATCATTATGGAAGACAATATGGAGATGTCCCAGATATGTGAAACTAGATCTACTATATGATTCAGCGATCCCACACCTGGCAATATATCCAAACATAATGAAATCTGTATATGAGAAAGTGACCTGTACCCTATGTTTATAGCAGCGCAATTCATAATAGCTAAGATACGGAACCAACCCAGATACCCATCAACTGATAACTGAATAAAGAAAATGTAATACACATACACTATAATACACAGCCATAAAAGAGAATGAAACTTTATCTTTGCAACAAAATGGATCTGGATGGAAATCATCATGGTTAGTGAAACAAGACAATCCCCAAAAGACAAATATCGTATGTTCTCTCTGATCTGGAACGACTAATATATACCAAGAAGCGTAACCTCTATAAATGAGATTAACATACTGGAAATGAACTGTCATTCATAGTCTGTGTCTATACTTCTGAATAATAGTAGGACATCCATTTTTCTTTTTTTCTTTTTCCTCTACTTACTATGTCATAATATTTTTATATAAAATGAAATGTTAAGCTTGTTACTATGACATGAAAGAATATGCCAATGTGATAACCTGGGAAAAAATAAGAGAAGGGAGGAAATAGAGAAGGAAGAGGGGCACGGAAGAGTCTCTATGCTTCTAAATACGAATCATGAAAAGCATGACATTCACTCATTTTGTATTTAAATAATAATCACACTTTTGAGAAATGGGAATCAAATAACAAGATTTAGAGCAGAGAGTAGAACAAAGTTGTAGCAATAGCGCTCATGGGAAAAGGCTAATTTTATTTATTTATTTTTTTATCTTTACCTGAAAGCCAGAATTTCAACAAAGAGAGGGGAGACAGAGAGACTGAAAGAAAGGGATCAATCTTCATTCACTGGCTCAGTCCGCAAATGGCAGCAATGGTTAAAGCTGGACTAGTCTCAAGCAAGCAGCCAGGAGCTTCTTCCAGATCTTGCATGTGGGTGCAGGAGCCCAAGCACCTGGGTCATTCTCCACTACTTTCCCGGGCACATTAGCAGGGAACTGCTTATTTGCGATGTCAGCACCACAGGGGTAGTTTAACCTAATGGCACTTCCTGGAAGGCTGAATTTTAATTACCAACACCCCCTCTGAAATCCCTAATGATTCCTCCAGAATTCCCTCTTACTCTTCTAGCCTGAGAATAGTCCTATAAACTTTATCATAACTGCATCTGGCTTGCTGGAGCTCAATGGGAACAAAAACAGCTTCAAGAGAAAATGTGGCACAAAGTTAAAGCTATGGAGTATTTTTTTTTAAGATTTCTTTCTTTTTATTTGAAAGACACGTTTACAAAGAAAAGGAGAGACAGAGGAAAAGATCTTCCATCTGCTGATTCACTTCCCAGAGGGCCTCAAAGGCCGGAGCTGAGCTGATCTGAAGCCAGGAGCCAGGAGCTTCTTCCAGGTCTCCCATAAGAGTGCAGGGGCCCAAGGACATGAGACATCCTCCACTGCTTTCCCAGGTCACAAACAGAAAGTTCAATCAGAAGAGGAGCATCCAGGACACAAACCAGCATTCACATGACCAGCTCCCAAATAATTTTAAAATCTTGAAATAATCAGGATTTGTTTCTCTAACCTGATCTTCTGCTACTTCCTATCTAGAATTTTCACTATAAACTATACTCAGTTCTACAGAAGATCCATATTCTTTAATTTTTTAAATTTATTTGAAATTAGAGACAGAGACAGAATCAAAGAGCTCTTTCATCCAATGCTCCCAACAGCCAGTGCTGGACCAGACTGGAGCCAATAGTCAGAAACGCAATTTAAGTCTCCCAAATGGGAGGCAGGCACCCACTAACTGAGCCACTACTGCTGCCTTCCAGGATCTACATCAGCAGGAAATTAGAATCAGAAGTGAGTCAGGACTTGAGCGCAGGAACCCTGGTTAGGAGTGCAGGTGTCCCAAGTGAGAGGTCTTACTCAGCACGGCAAATGCCTGCCTTTATGTTCGTGGGCCTTTGCAGAGCTTGTTCTGTCTTCAACTAGCCCACTGCTGTTTGTCAGGTATATATCAGTTATTCAAGGCAATCTTTCTCAGATTATATTTAATGTCACTCATGGGAGCTTTCCCTGAACTCTACACACTCCCATCAGTGCATAATTCTACTTCATTGTAATTGCCTATTTATCTATTTCCACTACTAAATTTCAGTCAGGCCTTTTTAAAGACAGGATTTATATTTTGCTTGTTCACAGTATCAAGGGGCACAATAAATACTGGATAAATGAAGGAATCAAACTCCACCAGCCTTCTACGTATCTAGCATCATTCCCCCTTTCTCCCTGCTTGGAACATTCTCCCTAGTTCTATCACCAGCAGGAGATCCTTGCTATAAGATGCTCCTTAATAATTACTTCTTCATCTAGATGCTTATGCCCATTACTGCTACTATTTATTTAACATTTAACCTATTGCTCTGGTTTTTTCCAGTTATTCTTGTAACGTACAGATCTAATCTCCTTAATTAAAGTGCACAATCCTTGAGGGCATAACTGTATGTTTCTCTTGATACTCCATTATCTAGCACACTGCTGCACATATAGTAAACTAATACTTAATATACTACATATTTGGTGAGTAATCAAAATTTAATAGTTATTTGTTTTCTAAAAAGCAAACATTTTTAAGTGATACGGATGCACTTAATTTTTTTTGTCAATAACATGGAGAAATATGCTGAGGAACAGAAGTACAAGTAATTTTTAAAAAAAAAAAAACCTCCTTCTGCGTGAGAGAATAGTGAACACAAATATTAAGAGGCACTCTAACCACAATGACATTCATAAGTTAAGAATTAGAAGCCTTATGGCTTCCAAAGTGACCTATGCACATAGAGCATCACAGTATTTTCAGATCAAAGGACATATGTGTCAATATATGAACTGAAAGTCAGTCTATGTTTTGGAGGAGAAGATAATTACGGTTTTGTCCTGTCAACAAGGGAGTTAACCGGCGCTAACTCAATTTGCCGCTTGTTCATTCGTGGTTTGCCGTCATCCCACGGCACTATCCAAATTGCTGCCCTCTGAGGAGAATCTAGGAAGCTAACGCAAATTGGTGCCAAATGCCATTACTAACTTTGGGAAGTAGTCAGGTCTTCCTGTATTTAGAAAAGTAAGTGGGCTGCGAGTGGTGTGTACCCAGTCTCCCAATACCAGAGAAAACCGAAAAATCTAACCTCAAGACGCCAGCGCTCCAGGTGCCCTCTGCCCAGAACCTCCTGCCCCTTCTCGCTTTACTGTCCCCAGAGCTTTTTCTCTTCCTTCAAATTACTAACACCACTCTCCTTCACTTACTGCTGCCGCCGATTAGCTCTGAGACTCTTTTTTTTTTTTTTTTTTTTTGGTTCTTTGTCTGACCCGAGGTCACCAGGGCAACCTTTTTCCCCAGGGGTCCCCTTGTCCTTCACCCCACTTTTCCCAGTGAACGGCGGCTCACCTGGTAGATCCGAGTAGTTCCCGAGGCGGCGCGCTGAGGTGCTCTCCATTGAGGATCCGAGCCGCGGACACAAATTAGAGGCCGGAGAAGAATCGCCGAGTGCCGGCGTTTTTCGAAAGCAGCCGCCGCGGCTGCCCAACGCCAAGTGTGTACCGCGAGCAGCGCCATCTTGAGCGAGGAAAGAGGAACCGAGAGCGGAGGATTGTGGGACACTGGCGGACCGAAGGCGACAGGTTTAATCTTCTCTCCCCGCCCCCTCGTTTCCCCGAGGGCTCGCGACCGGAAATAGCTCCTGTGTGCCCATGGTGATCTTTCGGCTACCTGCCTTTTTCTTTTTTTCTCCCCTACGGCCCGCATTGATTATTCTTGTACAACCAAGAACGTGGGAATAGCTTTGTCTTTTCTTTTTCTGGGGTTGCCAGATAAAGGATTTCCAGTTAAGTTTGAATATCAGACAAATGAATATTGTGTTATGTGGGTATGTTGAAAACACTGAGTTTATTACACCTGGCAACCCTATCCTGTAACTCATTCCACCCTTGCCTGACTGCCTTCAGCTCAATGCCACGCTCCACTTTCTCTGCTTTCCCTATACATATTCTTATCTCCACTGTCCTGTGGTCTAATGTGTAGAAAAGATTATACTACAAACACTAATTTCCCTTGGGAGAAGGCCTAGCCTGTGAGACTGTCACTGTTTTGTAATCACTTTCACTTTCCTGCTTGTGACATAAACCTTGAGGCAGTTTTCGTTAGTTCTGTTGCTCTTGAGACCATGACGCACATGCACACACACCCCGAACATCTTTGCTCTGATATTTTGACTCTCTTACTACCACTTACCTTTGGTTTCTTCTGCAGGATCCGTAACTATTGAAAAACCTATCAGTTGGCTGAGGGATGGCCAAATGAAAAAAATCAAGAAGTCTTTATTTAAGACAGGTTTCTATTCGGTTTTTATTATCATCAAATAAGAATGTCAAAGAATGTTTACAATTACCTGGAAAACTGAGATAGCTGTTACCTGAAACCCTGGAGGCAATAATGCAATCGCAATCTTATATTCATTGCTGTGTTCTCAAATCTTTCCACCCTACCCCACCCACAACCCCCAAAAAAGGAACACACAGAGTTGCAAACTTCTTGGACTGTGGACTAATAATAAATCTGCTGAAAAAACACACAAGAATATATGTAACCCATACAATTCCATTTACTTTTTTCAGGGAAAAAAAAAGTTAGATTGCAGATTTCCATTGAAAAAGATATTTGAGCTCCTTGGCTGAATAATGCAGTTTCAAGTTGAAGAACTTCAACTTCTTTTCATGTAAAGAAGATGGTATATTGAAAGCAAGAAAGTAAAAGAACATTTTTCAGCCTCAGCAGACAGGGGAATGAATGGCAAAGTACCAGGAAACGAGACTGCTTGACCAGAGAGCTTATATGAAGGCAGTTCAAAAAGTTCATGGAAAATGGAGTTAAAGGATGAATTTATTTTGATGTAAAAAAAAAAATGTTGAAATCCATCAGAAATGTGTTTTTGTCTATACTCCTGAGGAACAGTAGGGTTCCCCCACACACACTACCATTTTCTACTTGTTGAATTCTTTACCTAAGAGAGAGTTAAGTATGTGGTTGCAAAGTTAACCAAAAGTTTGCCGTTGGAAATTTTTTTTCAAAAAGGAAAGAGAAGGGAAGGTGGAGAATGAGGGCAGGAGGAAGGTTGAAGAGGAAAGTATCACTTTGTTCCTAAACCTGTATTGTGAAATACATGAATTTTGTTCACTTTATATAAAATAAATAAAAGTTTTAACAATACATTGCAAAAGAATCCCTAGGCTTCAAAGTTCTTTACAGCAAAATAAACTGATTTTTTTTTAATAACTCCATTTCATTTGCATTTCATTCTCATTCTTTGTATTTCATTAACTCAGCAGTTAATGCTTCATCCTGTAACCAGTGAAGGATTTTATTTGGATTGATAACATAATCAGATTTGTTTTTTGCATTAACCCACTCTGGTCGAAGTGGGAAGGTTGGGTTGGAGGAAGTTCAGATAGGAGTTAGGAAGTTAATGGAGCAGTTCCATCATAAAATAAATAAGGCCTGAACTTAGCACCCACAGTGACAATAGATCAATTCCAAGAATATTAAGAAGATGGGATCGACAGGGCTTAGTGACTATTTGGATGTTTCTAGCTTTATTTGCTATAAATAAGGAATGCTCTCTTTTATTACTGACTGTATCATAACAATTTTTTCATGTTAGATAGCAATAGTCTACGCTGAAGAAACCCTGGACTAGAGAAATTATTTCTATTAGGATTGAATAATGCCACTGCTTGGTACAGTCTAGTTCAGGCATTATCCAATAATGCTCTCATTTAAAAAAAAAAAAAAAGTACAAATCTGAGGTCAGCTCTGTGGCATGCAGGTAAAGCAACCACCTTCCATGCTCGCATTCTGGTTAGAGTCCTGGCTCCACTTCTAATCCAGCCCCCTGATAATGTAACTGGGAAAGCAGTGGGAGATGGTCAAGTGCTTGGCAACCTACAGGCACGTGGGAGACTTAGAAGAACCTCTTGCCGCCCAACTTTGAACCAGCCCAGCTCCAGCCATTAAAGCCATCTGGGGGAGTGAACCAACAAATAGAAATCTCTCTTTTCTCTCTCCACCTCCCTCCCTTCCTCTCTCCTTGACCCTCCCTAACTGCCTTTTAGACAAACAAATAAATATTTTTAAATGTGCAAACCTATGTAATATAGATTCTTTGAATATCATCATACATTTTCTTATTTTCAGAAACACACATTATCTCCCTGAATCTAAAGTTTTCTGCAGGTATTATTTATTACCTTTAACGTATTAAAGGTTCAAGCCTATGGTGATAGATACACAAACCAAACCATCATGTTTTGGCTGTAGTTCTGCTCTGAACATTAAAAGATGTTGCCTAGGGCCCGGCGCAGTGGCCTAACGGCTAAAAGTCCTCGCCTTGAACGTGCTGGGATGCCATTTGGACACCAGTTCTAATCTCAGCAGCTCCACTTCCCATCCAGCTCCCTGCTTGGGGCCTGCAAAGCAGTAGAGGACGACCCAGAGTTTTGGGACTCTGCACCAATGTGGGAGACCTGCAAGAAGTTCCTGGCTCCTGGCTTTGGATCGGCACAGCACTGGTTGTTGCGGCCACTTGGGGAGTGAATCATCTTGTTGTGCCCAGATTTTGAGATCCCCAGAGATCACCAGGAGTCTGAAGTCGATCCAAGTGCACAAGGATGGTTTATTGAAGCTCAGCACATCCGAACCTGGGTACTTGGTTGAGAGCAGGCAGCTGGCTGACGGGCCAGGACCAACACCCCTCACCGGGAGTGTGGCCCTGAACAGAACATTCATAGGGTTTTTTTAAGGGGCAGTCCACGATAGTTTGAAAGGGGCAATTCACAATAGCTGCAAGGTGGGGAAATACCACACATTCCCTACACACTTCAGCTGGACAGCCCATGCCTCCAGCAACTAAGGGAAGCACCCACTTAATTACTTGGAGCCACCTGTGAGACAACCAGACTTAGGTGGGTCTTGATTCATAAGAATTGGGACCCATCGGGCCCGGCAGCGTGGCCTAACGGCTAAAAAGTCCTTGCCTTGAATGCACCAAGATCCCATATGGGTGCTGGTTCTAATCCTGGCAGCTCCACTTCCCATCCAGCTCCCTGCTTGTGGCCTGTTAAAGCAGTCAAGGACTGCCCAAAGCCTTGGGACCCTGCACTCGCGTGGGAGACCTGGAGGAAGTTCCTGGCTCCTGGCTTCAGATCGGCTCTGCTCTGGCCGTTGCGGTCACTTGGGGAGTGAATCATCGGATGGAGGATTTTCCTCTCTGTATATCTGAATAAATCTTAAAAAAAAAAAAAAGAATTGGGACCCATCAGTGCTAAAGGTCACATAGGCCGTTTAGCCTACAGTTTGTTAGTAACAATGAGCCATGAACAAATGGTTGGGTTTTGATACTGAGGTTCTTCAATCTGACAGAAGATCTTCCCACTGTCTCTCCTCCTCTGTGTACATATGACTTTGCAATAAAAATAAATAAATCTTTAAAACAAAAAAAGGATGTTCCCTATACACCCACACAAGCGAAGAAGGACATTATGACCCTAGGAGGTCAACCAGCCCAGGATTACAATTGATTGGGTAATATTTGTATGAGAACAACTGAATGGATACCTTTTGTATAACTGATTGGATATGATTTGCATGTGAACAGTTGAGTGGACAGAAAGTGAATGAGAACACTTGGTGGAATATACAAAACAAAAGGAGTTCCAAACAAAAGTATAGAAACAGTTGATGGGTTTTGTTGATAAGCTCACTACTTTCTCCCTTATCCCAGATGACCCTCAGTGTATAAAGTCTGATGCCCCTAATAAACTTCAGCTTTTGACCATCAGTCAGGGTCCACGCGTGTTACTATCAACTCTGTGCATGAAGTCCATCACTGCAGGACAGCGACAACAAGACTCAACAAAAGTCTCTAGAAGCCATACAAAATCATAAGATTGACTTATGTATTTATTTTATTTATTTGAATGGCAGAGCGTTAGATACAGAGACATTTCCCAAATGCCTGTAGTAGCCTGTAGCTGAGGCCAAAGTCAAGAGTGTAGAACCCAGTCCAGATCTCCCACCTGAGCCATCACCTGCTGCCTTCAAGGATACGGATTAGCAAGAATGGCCAGTAGGGCCAGGACTAGAATCCGGGTACTTTGATATTGGGCATGTGCCTCCCAAGCAGGATCTTAGTTGCTATTCCCAAAACTTGCTACCATAATCGAAAAACCACTAAACCATAGAAGACTCCAGAGGCCTGAAATACCTACATCTACCACAAAGAATAGCCCTTAAAATTCTTGAAATACTGTAGTATAGCTACATACAAATATTTTTGATGTGGAATAACAGTACCAAGGCCTTTGAATGAATTCAATGTCTTTTTATGAAAGTAATGATCATTGCAGCCAACTTTTATATTTAAAGCATGTAAATAGTATCAAAATAGACAAAGAGCTATTCACCAGTGATATAAAACATGACAAATATTTATTTGCCAAATAATCCAAAGAAAACTTGCAATGCACCTAGAAATAGAATATGAAGCATTGTGAAAGCTGAACATTGCTAGGGAACAGGAGC